GAAACACAACTGAATCATCTTATCAATTTCAGTGTATTATTATTCATTTAAAACTGTAAAATCAATCAATTAGTTAAAACAGAACAAACAGTAATAAATAACCGGTTTCGACTCCATTAGTAACCTGTGACTAATTATCGAAGTTTTCTAAATTATGCAAAATACCGTAGTATTTATAATTAAACTTTAATTTCATAATAGGGAATAAGGTGATGGATTCTCACCCGAATCGGTGTCCCAAATACTAAACTTTCAACTGCACCTACTGGGTCCCCGGGTTCCCTGAATTTTTCTTTGGAGATTAAAACATGCTTCAAGAACTTAGAAATACCCTAAAAAAATTAAAAATCGATGTTAAAAACCATTTCTAGCCAATTTCAGAATTCCAGCACAGTGGCACCGCTGTGCTCCGGCAACGGCACTGTCGCCCGCGGTGGTGGTTTGCCTTGGACTGGCCTTTTCAGTTGGTTTATACTTATTTCTATGAGAAAATACATTAAGGGGCCTCGGTTGGCTGAAAAAAGTCAAAAAATAAAAACTCACAGGCAGTGAGATTTTCTGGTGTGGCGGCTCCGCCGACTCAGCTTCGCAGTTGGTCATTTTTCTTTAATCAACCTGTAGAAAACAGAATGGTAAATACATGGTGAAAAAATTGCATGAAATGGGAATCAGAAAGGGGCTCATCGGAGGCGATTTTTGATTTTTCCCGCGATGCCACCGCTATTCTGGCTCATCTGCCGGTCATTTTGCTCTGATATGGCCAGTGGTGTTCAAAATCAAATTTCAAGCGAATAAAATTTTTTTTTTACCTTTTTTGGTGGTCGGAGGTGGTTCCGGCACAGCAGCAGGCGGCGGTCGGCTCCCTTCTCTGGCAACTGGTTCTTCTTCTCTGGCGGCTAGGGTTCAGTGTGAGGTGATGTATTTATATCTGTCTCCTTTTAATCTAAGTCATTCATCACATTTGATCTCGACCGTCCGATCGCATTTAAAGATAAAATGAATATGAGCCGTTCATCACGAT